AGCATGTAGTAGTAGCTTTCTCTCTCTCTCTCTCTCTCTCTCTCTCTCTCTCTTCTTCTGAACATGCATGAAACGAAAACATGCGTTGTTCTTAAACATGTTGATGAGGAGAAGGGCTAAGAGTGGTCGCCATCGTGGTGGCTGGTTCCAAGAACTGAATGAAAAGAGGAGTCAAAGTTGATGGATCTTGTTGTTTGCTCTTCACTTTTCTCGCTCGCTTTTCCTAGCCTCGTCGTGAGGTCGGGTAGGGCTTTCGATAGCGACGAGCGTCGAACACCACTCAAACATTCGGCTCCGCCTTCCCTCTCTCTATCTCTCTCTCCCTTCCTTTATCTTCTTTGTCGATCCTTGTTGACTGTCATCGTCACTTAGAAATCCAACTCGCTTTCCAGCCCATCCCATTGTTCCTTCAAATTTTGTGGAGTTCGCATTTACATAGTTTGAGATCTTTTGTTTCTATATGCCATTCCCATCGGCAGCCATGATTACCAATAAAATTTAGAAAATACTAAAGTTTAAAACCACTTAGTATCCCTATAATATCATTGACAACTTAAATTTACAGAGATAAACACAAAATTCACATTGTGTTTATTCGAATAAACACAATGATATGATGATATTTAAGTTTTTTTCAGTTTTGTAGGGATATATATGTTTTAACTTAGATTAGAGGAGTAAATACAAAAACCATCAACTTTGGAGGAATATATATATATATATAAATACAAGAGGTATTGAAACCAAAGAGTCGGTGAAAGAAACAGTCAACAGATCTTATCAAGCGTATCAAGGAAGCCACAATGTGGGATGAAAGGTCCCCATGAACAGCATGTTGGGCGCCGCCCTCATCAATTACCTTTAGCATGCAAGTGGGTTGGGCAGAACGATCCTGTGGCCCTGCTATTGAAATCATGTGACTGTTTCGATTCAAAGCCCGATCTGACACATGAAAGTATAGCTTACGCAGCTTTAATTTATGGATATTGCATGTCCTTATTTATTAGAGTTTTGCTCGCTTGACTCGGTATTTTATATAGACTTATACATAAAGTCATCATACGCATAAGATGAATATTAATATTACAATCCGGAGGCTTTTTTTTTTTGTTTTTGGTTAGTGTATTGCTTTACAAATAGTAGGTCGTAGCTTTGAGTCAATGGGTGAGTGTCATAAACATAATTTGATGTAATAATTTTTTAAAATATTATTCTAATCTAGAAAAATTATAACAAGGCATTAGTTGTTATCTACAATTAGTTGTTTTTTTATGTCGCATTTTATAGTGGAAATAATTATATGAAATTATCAAATATTACTCGGATGTAAAAAGTCAATCGAATGTTTGAGCATTATGATTAATGTTGTCGTTTGTCATGCTAATCACATGAGGTGTTTGGCTGACATATCAGGCTGCTGATGGAACGTCTGAGTTGGTGTTGAATTGATAGTAATATAACATTCAGTTGTTCACATGTTAGATCCCCTATCATCCATACACATCCTCTACATTGTCTCAACTTTTAGTATATAGAGAGTGTCGAGACATAAATTTAATAGATAATTTAATTACGTTAAAGGGAGTGAGATATGCTTCACAGTTAGATTCGATTGTGTCAAGTGACACAAAATGCTTCATGATGGAAGTTGAGAATGCTTCATAATTAGACTTGCCTAGTCAATGGATAAAAGATGCTTTATACTTAGATTCGATTAAGAGATATATGTGATGTGTTTGACTATATCATGGTTGGTTTAATTATGTCAAGAGTAATTTGGTTCAATAGTATCAAGAGATAGAGGATACTTCCTAGCTTGGGTTCGGTCACATAAAAAGAATGTTTCCTAGTTGGGTCAAGAGATAAGGGATATTTCATGATCGAGCTTAATAGTATTAGGAGTTAAAAGGATGCTTCATAGTTGGATTCAATCACTTTAGGATATAGAGGAGGTTTCATGACTTGATTTGATCACGTCAATCGAGACATAGATTTGGTCGTGTCATCTAATTTGATCATGACTAAGTTCGATTGTATCAAGAATAATTTGATTTAATAATGCGAAGAGATAGAGGATGCTTCCTAGTTGAGTTTGGCTAGAAAAATGATGCTTCTTAGTTGGGTATGAAATGTTTCATGGTCGAGCTTAATAGCATTAGGAGTTAAAAGAATGCTCCATGGTTGGATTCAATCACTTTAGGATATAGAAGAGGCTTCATGACTTAATTTGATTATGCCAATTGAGACATAGATTTGATCGTGTCATCTAATTTTATATATTTTTTTGACATTATAATCACCTTTAAGTTATTTCAATTGTCGTGCCAAATTTGATTTGATTTGATTTGATTTCTGACAATTTAAATCACGGCCTAATGTCTGTTCATATCTTGCCAATCAAAGGACTTTCATGCCACCCATCTGTCAAATCGTTAGGCAACAAAGGAAGTCTGGCATTCGATCTTTTGTTACTAATTAGGGGCTTCTATATCACCCATCAGTTGAAACATTGAGCAAACCCAAGGTAGGTTGATGAAGGTCAAACAGTGCTCAAACCTTATAAAAGGGGGTATTTAAGCCTCATTCTCTTGTCATAATTCTTAATACCTTTGAACTCTCAAGTCTTCAAGGCCTTTGGCCTTTAGAATTTTTCACCCAAAGCCTCTACTTGAATGTCTAAGATGTCTTCCACCACCTTCTCTTCTTTTCTCTTTTAGGTTAGACCAACCTTTTAGTTTCCTTCACCCCTCTCAATCTATGTTAGCCTCATTTCCTCCTAGAAAGAGTTTAGAGCCATCACGTCGTCAAGGAGTGCTATTCACTTCTTCAAGTAGATGAGTGTTGTCGTCCGTAATGCACTTCTAGAGTTGGTCTTGAGGATCTTCACCACCTTAGGTCTTAGATTCTTCATCCTGCTCGAGTTTGAGCTTTATAGGTGTTTAAATTGGTGGTTGATTCTTCATCACTGCTTTATGTATATTTAAGAGATCTCACCCACCCAAGTTGCACTGAGCTCATATATAATAGTGACTAGTATTCGAATGTCCATATATAAGAACTCCTATCGAGTATCAAATATGGAACAGATATAGTTGAATCCTACCAGGAGAGAGGTCTCTTTAACATGATTCTGATTGTATATCGATAAGAATCGCTCGATCATTTAGTGAGGATTTAGTATGGATGTGACAGATATCATTAACCTATCTTACCAATATTGAGATCCACATACCAGACTTTGATTAATTGAGAATATTCGTCATATCAATCACTCAATAAAATGAGCAATGATTAGGTGAGAAATGGCAAATACCTCCTCCTTATTAACTAAGGATTTTCCAAATGGGAGCAGTGTGCCTGTCCCGCCTGCTTGAAGGAAGCCACCAGTCTTGGGCAGATGGCTTCTGACATGTAACACAAGCCCTTAGACTATAGCCTGGGCTGTATTCTTCCATCACAGGCCTTCTTCACTCTTTAGAGAATGCCAACCAATCTCCTGACATAACAAGACATGCCGCCCCCACTAAGCTACATGCATGTGAGACAGACAAGAGGACGTGAGCAGTGCCCCCATGTCTCAGCATTTGGCTTGCTGCCTGTGGAGTTGCATTAGCTGCTAGTGTTTGTAGGATGCATGGCTCAGCAGATGCTCCACCATAAAGTCTGTTCTGGCACTGCTGCAACGCAATAATTTCTTTCCAATGTCGAATGAGGCGGTGCAGCAGATTGCTCGACATGGGGGCACAACGTCTCTCACCTCACAGCTTCTTGCCTGTCCTTGCTTCAACAATAATGTAAGCTTTCTTCGAGCGTCAGGACATCTCCATCTGCATCATGACATGCATGTATGTGAGAGCAAATCTGAGCCCAGCAGAAGCTTCAAGTTAAATGAGCAGCTTCAATGGCCTTTCTAATAAAGAACTGGTCCTACTTATGGGTGGTCTTAAAAAGTTTAATTAAACTCAGTTGTAAACATGAATGGTGAGCAATAATAACCAATTCCAGAAGCATATCTCACTGTCTCAATGAGCAAATGAAGAGGCAGCTAGAAACTAGATGATGAAAACTTACTAGTTGAATTTTTTTTGTCAGTCACTTGTATCAATGCATTTCACATGCTCAGTTTCAAGTGCAAATACTGAAACACCAGGCATGGATGATAATAGTGTAGTAAGACAAGCACACAATACAGGGAAAAACAAGCATTTCTGCCCTCGAACTCCAAAATTTTCAAACTAGCAAAAAAATACATTAATTGTCAAGCAGGGCAAAACGATTATACAGTGCACAGATTAAAAAAAAAAAACATATTTCGGCCTACCTGCTTCAGTGCAAAACAAGCTCATGCTAATGATGAACAAGCACAATTCCATATGAAAATACCATAAAATAATCAGCACAAATGAATAATTCCCTATTCAGAGTTTCCTCTCTGTAGATCAGATCTCGCAGTTCCTGGCGTAACGAGTGCAAGAATAACAAACCCCCCAAGAAGAACGAGCAAAATGCCTAAGGAGTTGATTAATAAAGCCTCATTTGAGTAACGTAATATTGTCTTGCTGGCCTGAAGAAAAGTAGCCTTTTCCAAGAGGCCAGTTATCGCTGTAACCACGGCAAGAGCATATATGTATGCCCCGAAAAATACATGCCAAGGAAGCAAGAAAGCTCTGCTACTTCTTGAGCCACCAGGATACCAGAAGGTAGCAAACCCCATTCCCCACTGCACACAAATCAAGTTAAAAATCACTTGGTAGAAGTGGTAGATAAGAAACCCATATGCTCACGAGGTTAAATGGTAGGTTCCGAAAGCATTAACATATAAAGCACCTGGATAGAAAATAGCAGGATACATGCAAGCCCCAACCATGAGTGCAGACTGTAGAAGTTATCAATGCCCTTGTCATTGTGGAACTTTAAAGCAGCCCATGTGCCAATTAAGCCCAAACATAAAGCAAGGAACTGAATTGATAGATGCACTGCCTTTTTGAAGCTCTTGGTTCCTGGCATCGTCTTGTATGCTAATATAGCTGCAATATATCCACGAATGTTACTGAGTGCAGAAAAAAGGGAGAGAAAAAAAAGAATAGCAACACAAATACATATCACCATCACAAACTTCAGTAATGGCTTCTGGTGATATACAACTTCAAATTATGGTTGCCAATATCAAATAAATGCTGTAACATGACATTTGAAAATCCACTAAACTTCAAGACTACTAATATATAAACCATATTTTCTTCAGTCTACTTGATATACTTGGGTGAGTCTACTCAAATTTAATGAAGTGACTTAAATGGGAATGGTCAAGCTCTGGAAAATTCCTGACTTGACAGTTGACTCCATTTCGTGCCAAGTTTGTGTGGTTTGGTAACCTGAGAAACTCGACTTGCTTCTGATTTTTAATCTCCCCATTATTTTTATCGCAACACATTCTCCTGCTTTCCCTTCTGACACAGTAGATTCTACACCAAGTTCCTTTATGACTCTACCAGACTGTAAGGCCAAATTCTCTTTTCATCAAGTATTTGCTTTTGGTTCCATCACCCCTTAGGACATTAATAGCAATAATCATCATCAATATATGGTTCCAGTAATTTGGAAATGGAAATGCATAGAAATTATTACTCTTAACTGTCAAGAGTCATGGTTCCTAACATTCAAATTGCTGACACAAGAAAGAGAAAAGGAAAGAATAAAAGGATGAGAAGAGAAGACAAGAAAAGGAAAGGTAGACACAAGGAGAAAAGACTGCCTAATCTATGCCAACCCATTGTTGGTGCCACTGCCATCACTCTACTGCTCTCATGCGTTTCAAATTGCACAACTGCTGTTGGGGAGGGAGAGGATCTAGATGTCTGCAAGAGTCAATCAAAGGAAAGAGAACTTAAGAAACAAGTGAAAATATGAAAGGAGTGAACAAAAATTGATGTCGCCTAACGTCCTAGTGATACAACATACATGCACTTGATGAAATAGCAAGGAGGAATAGGAACGATATTCAGCATAAGCCTCGATCCAAAAAGATGCTGAAACATGTTATTAATAAGCATGATTTGTGAAGTTGCCAACAGATAAAAAATTGCCCTATTGTGGGCCAACCAGGTATTCCAAGAGACTGCAGACAAGGCATCTAATAGCTTCCTTTGAGATTACTAACTTCAATCAATCACCATGTTTACAAAAGTGTTCTTCCATGCATCAAACCTCAAGTCAATTTTTTGCAAGTTAAGGCAGCTATCTAGTCTCCCACTGTTTCCAGCCATGCAACAAAAAAAGACTGAAACAATCAAATCCACCATGGATGATACTGGTATGTTTGGCTATATCACATCTGAATTTAGCGATACCTTGAACTATGCATCAGACTGACTTTACAGTACTCGCAAACAAAAATGCCCCATCGGTGATGAAACAAGGTCTTATGACAAGCTTCAATATGATATCACCCCTGAAGTGCCAATTTCTACTCAAGCCGGTGGAGAAAGACTTGACTGACAAAATGAGTTCTAATAGGTAGATAAAAAGATCAACTGTATTGGTTGTTATTTAAGCTCATGTGAATCAATAAAAAATAATCAAAAAATGACAACTTTAATTCAGGGAAGAATGTTCATCTTCAATACATAAATAAGCAAATGAAATAGCAAATACAATCACTATGACAAAAAAAAATCGTTCATTGATAGATTCCATCTTGCAAATTCTTAACCAACATATGGTATAAAGCCAGAAGACATGTACCTTCACCATTTAGAAGTATAAAGCCAATCACCATTAACACAGGGTGCACCTAAAAAGAAAAAACTGAATTGTTTAGTTGATGTATGTATCAATGCAGAGTAATTGATGCTACTGTAACTTATTTTTAATGGAAAAGTCTCAAATAGTTCTAAGAATGAACCCACAATCCTACAATGATTTGCTCAACAACATCAAAGTGAAATAGTTAACTAAATATAACTTAATATAATTTTTTTTCATCAAATAGATAATCAGCTAATTGATTTTAGTGAACAACCTATCAAGGAAAATTTATTTTGTAGTTCCGGCAACATTCATATTGTGGGTTATTGAAGCAACAAACAGGATCTTCTCAGATAGATTAATCATTGAAAATGAGAATGAACAAGAACTGCTTCTCATTTCACTTTTTTCTTTTACCAGTTGGAAAGAGAACCTGAATAAGTTCTGACCTGGGAAGGTGCAACATCAAGAGAGAAGAGGAGGAAAGACAAAAAGAAAGAGAAAATAGGTGAAAAAGAATAAGGTTCTAAGGCTAGTACCAGTACTTGTATCAAAATATTACTAAAGCGATATGGTATGGTACAATATGATTCATCTTTTTTTTTTTCTAATATGATACATCTTGAGAGGCCAATGAAAGAATACTAAAAATTATCTAATATGTTGAGGCTGATGGGGTTCTAATACAATTGGTACTTCGATAAGCTATCAGGGATGTACAGTATGGTCACCATTGTCAATACAGCATGGTATTTCAAATGATTAGAGAGAATAATGTGAGATATGAAATTGATATGGCCAACCATTTTTCTTCTCCGACATATAGTAACTTTTTTTGCCTGACATGCTCAGTCAGATATGTTCTCCCTCTTATCTGATACCTCCTTAAACGAAACTATTTTAGTTAAATTAACTTATTTAAATTAGTTAAATTGCATATACACTTGGATATTGATCTGATCTTTCTCAATCAGACAAACTGACTTCGACTGTGAAGATCATATCCAAGTTAAATTAGATGTTTTCCAACCCATCACAGAATGCATACAAGACCCTACACTGAAAACATCATTAATTCAGCCCATCTATGCTTGCTATCCATTGACATTCAAATCATTAACCCACAGAAAACATTAAGCTACCTTAGCAATCACAACCACACGATTGGCTCTAATTGCTATATCCTGTGCTGCAAGAACATGGACACAGGATTTCAACTAAGACACATATTCAAGTGTTAACATGGAAATAGTAAGGAGATGTGGGACAAGCAGAAATTACTTTTGTATTACCATATGCAAGCATGAGTCTAATAAGTGAATTTTTTGGAAGCCTCAAAACCCAAAAGATTCACTTATCACATCATGGAGCTGGGTTTTAGGCGAATAATTTTAGTCAATAATCAAAACACATAGTCAATAGGTTGACATATATTGGTCATATGGGTGCATGTGCCATGATTTATGAAGTTGGACATTAGAGTTCACATGTCAGTGATCATATTTGCAATCAAGAACATACGTAATGAATAAAAAAATTAACCAGGGAATCTTAGGCTAAGTACTTGTGGCTGCTTATTTTGGATAAAAGTCATCTCCAAGTACATTTAGAATTAAGGAAACACCTCTTGTTTCATATAATCTTGTGATCTGGTCCACTCTTACACAAGCCCCCAATGCTTCAAGAAGGTAATCAATCATCTTTTCACAGACTGGCTTTATTCAACATAATGATCTTTTTGATGGATGGAATGTATATTTTTTATTAGTTCAACCATTGTAACTCGTGTAATGCTAAGTAAGGATGCAGTATTGATATTATAATGTAATTATATTCCCATGTCTATGTTGTGCTTAGAATTCTGATATTGTGCATTATTGCCATGGGTCTCAAGACTATCAGATATGGGCTACCCACTTAATCTGTTCCCATCATTTGTCCATTTGAAGACAGTCCTATGACCATCTTATGCTATATACATTCTTTTTTGCACTCTATCCAACCAATTAACTTTTTGGTATTCCCCATTGTATTAGTGCAATTAATGTAATTTTAAAAAATTTAACATCCCTAAAAAATTAATTTCATTTTATTCAGAACCTCATATGGTGCCTCTATAACATACCAAATCCAATCATTCTTTATCCTTTCCTTTTTAACAAAATTTCTAATAAAATGATACTACCTGTTAACTTAGCACAAATATTTGAGTATAAAGTTGGCAGTATTATCTCCTGTTGTTAAAGTAGGTTTCCTATCACAAAGTCACCAATTGACATGTAGGTGTTTTCAAATTTAAGTATCATTATTTGTCAAGAATAGAATAATTCCTTATCTTCCACCTTTTTGTAATTGAAGTAATGGCTATAGATTGACACATAGGCTGCCAACAAAGTGGGAACAGAATCATAGAGGCTGATGCACAGAGAAAGAGAAAAAATATTCATACATCCCTTCGAGATCACAATTATTATCCTCACTTGAGGAAAGATCTATGATTCAAGTATCTTCAACCACAGTTAAATTAATCACTAGCACTTTTGATGCTATGCAGTAGCACACTACCATCATTTAAATACCGATTAAGAACCAAAGTTTGGAGTCATAGTATTTGTAACTATCATAATAATCTTTACAACAATTCAAGAGGATAACATTTAGCTAATGCTAATGATCACAAACTGCTAATATTGGCCTTTGAAGCAGTAACGATCATGATTTCCCACCAGAACATGTTCACGATGTTCTATTCCAATAGTGATTGTCCACACTATGGAGTGGCTGAGTGTGGCGGCCATGCCATCCTCCATGAGGACAAGATTCACGTGTGGCTCCTGTGTGGCCAAACTGAGTGCTGAAAACCTATGTTCAACTGCCATGTATTGAGCACCATCACCATGTACTGACTATCAAATTATTCACCTAGAGTCGGTTTTAGGATGATAACTGAGGGCATCAACATATCATTTTCCCGGGGCAGGCGCCACCTGCCAAGTTTGTGCAATGTCACCTTAATTCCGAAACCCCACTACACTTTGAATAGGGGACATGGGGGTTACGGGTGACTGCAGCTGCTAATAGACATCCAAATTGCAACCAAGGGCAACCACAATGAATTTGTTGGTGTAGCACCATCTGACCACAGGAACTACCAGCACACAAAGCACTTACCTAGAGATATGGAGACCCTCCATGCAGAGAAAGGAAGCAAATTCCCAATATTAGCTTCCAAGTTACAAGTGTTGCAGCACCTAACTCTCCTACCTTTAGCTGACTTAGGCGTGACGGATTCCCAGACTCTATTCCATCCATCCTTTAGGTGTTCCCTTGTTTTGTGGGTTGCCAATCCCTCACTCCTTCCACAATCTGATGGACATCCAGATCACCTCAGCGCAGGTGAGGGAGAAGAGATGAGACGCACCTATCTTTTTCCATGAACAACTTATCTCGACAATTATTGAGACAAGCGGATGAAACATGCCACTGTAACCCAATACAAATATGGAACTTTAACACCTTGCTCAGAATTCATTGTTGCCAATCATTTTGAATAGAATCACAAAGCTTCAGATAATCTATGAAACCTTTAAATTGTAATCATAACCTCAGATTCCATCCTCCTATAACCATAGTTAAGAGCTTGCATTAACACCTGGAGTGCCCCAAATAGTTCGACCCTAACAATTCTGACGAGCTACCCACCCAAAAGAAGAAAGAGAACACCTGCCATATGGAAAACAATAAGACAACACATTTCACACATCCTTTTCTGTTCGCTACGATTTTCGACTTGCCTTAACCATGTCGCTAAATAGTCGAATGCAGTATATTAATCAAAAGCCATTCTGCCACTGCAATTAATCATCACATGAATCAACGTTCTTCCATATCAAACTTTTGGGACATTTAACGTTTGATTGCGCATATCTCACCATCCAAACTCGGATTAACGGGAATAAATCAAGATAGTATCGGGAAAGGAAGAACACCGCGCATAGACACTGGTTCCTAAAACGAAGCAGTACAAGTCCGATTGCGGATCTCATCCAAGAAAACAAAAGGGCAATCGAGTCAGAGAACGAACTGGATTCTAAAGAGACCAAGCCGATTGTGGAGCTCATCCAAGAGAAAAAAGTGGGAAAGTAATTGCAATAGCATCAAAGGAAAGTAACAATTAAAATTAGGGCAAGTAGGTGTAAGGAAGTTACGTTGAAGATGAGATCCTTGTTGTCGGAGATGAGAGCCAATCCCCCCCGGAAGTGCACGGCCCAGATGAGGACGAAAGTCGCCGCCGCGGCGCCCGTCAGGCGGATCAGAGGCACGATCGGGAACCACACCACCGGAGCGCCCATCCGTCGCTTTCCCCTCCGATCGGATGAAACCAAGCAGCGATCGAGGTGGGTAGGCAGTACGATGGCGGCGACGGTGCGAAAGTCTGAAGTCCTCGGCGATCGTGATGTGTTCGGCCGACCGAATCACCCTCGAAGATTTCCTAGTAGTTGACGTGGCTAATTATATATTAGCCCCCAGATATATTTTTAGCTATGTGATTTTTGATAATGGATCATTTAAATCCATTTCTTCATATTTAAAATAATTTTTTATTAAAAAAAAATATAGTATAATTTAAGTCTGAATTTACAAACGTTTAAGATCGACTTATATATCGTATTGATTGATATGATATTTACTCATGTCTAAAATAATATTTATATTTTTAAAAACGTAACATATAAATTTTTCCCATCAAGTTTGAGTTAACGGACTGAGTCAGTTTACGTGGTATACTAGCTCACAATAAATCATTAATATAATAATATATATAATTTAAGTTTAAAAAATAATTAAGGTCCATTTTAGCCTACGTGATTGCTTAAGCCCTTATGATTTTTTATGTCTAAAATAACCTCTATATTTTTTAAAAATATACCATATAAGCTCGTCTCATCAAGTCTGAGTTAGTAGATAGTCTACTTACGTGTCATACTAACTCATAATAAATTATTAATATAATAATACATATAATTTAAGTTTAAAAAAAAAACTAAGACCGCCATCAATAGTGGGAGGAGGTACCGTCATAGAAGCTGTTGGGAAATATAGGGTGACATCACATGCGTAGCGGAAGAACAGAAAATAAATTTTCAAAAATTTTTGTAAAAAATAAGGTTTCATCGTCGTGCAAAGATTGGTATGTAAAAACCTACAAAATAAAAAAACTATGTATACAAGAGAGATTATGTTACATTAGAAGATCGTATATCTTTAAATTTTAATAGATCTATGGGAGAGGATGAAGGAGGTTAACTGTCATCCTCTCTAGCGGTGATCCACATAAATTGGGCTACGAAGACACTTTTCAAATCATTGCATAATCCTCCTCCTAACGAGCATCACGCAATCAAGAAGGGGCTGGCCTTTCTTTCTATCTACATGCCCCAAATAAGGGTTGTAAGTTGAGGAGAGGGAGAGAGGAGAATAGAAGATGACAGTCAAAAATCCTAACATATAGCCCTTTGGTTTTTTCCTATTTATATAGGCATCTTGTCAACTTAACCTTAATGGATCATGTCATATTAGGTACTATATCTCCATCCAACTATCCAAACCTCTCATTGGCTCTTATTGGATCTCATCCATAGGATCCAATAATTCATGAGCTTATTGGATATCCAATAAGATAGGGGTTCCAACGAATATCTCATATCTGAACCTCTACTCATCGTAATACCTACCATATGTGCATGACCGACCCTCTAGGCCCAATATCGAGCTAGTCGTGAGTCATATTTGTCAGAACTCTTTTTTGCTCAGTAAATTATTATCCTCATAATAATTTACTCGACTCATCGACTATGGACGTACTAGGCCACTACATTGCAATTTCCAACTATATAGGGGAATCTAATCTATTAGACCTGTCTATCCTCATTTATCGTATATATATAGTCTCTTATCCATCTAATACCCCGGAGACCGTATACCGGGTATGATATTGTCAGACCCAAACGGTTTCTACTCGAGTCTCGCTCTAATCAGATTATCCTATGGAACTCTTTTTCTCTTAATCTGAATGACCATGGCTAGGGATTTATTTAAAGTAAGAATACATGAGATATTCCTCTCATGACATCGAGAGCGGATGATCATTTATCGACACTCAATAGTTCTTATAAGGTTGGTTGCCACTCCTGATAACCGGTTATACTAGATTTGGAATTTTCAGGCCTATAAGTCCGGTATCAAAGAGTGGAGTATTCATACATGACATCCTTGGTGTCTCAAGTCTAAGGACCAAATACACTATTGAGATAACGTAATTGCTTTCCGACAATGAGGTATCATCAACCATTCAACATTCTGTGAGCGGATCAATCAATGAACTCATTCTCCAATGAGCACCTGCATTGTATCTCTAGTATCCCCACACAAACAGCTATAAGACCAACCACCTCCATTATATGGACGGGTATACAATATACGAGTTTGTTTGGTTATCTCGATGTCTCTCTCGAGTAACATATGATCGAAATTATTTAGGGTATGTGTTCTCATTGGATAGATCCATGGACATCACAATATATGTATATGTATATGCATATATATATATATATATATATATGTATATGTATATATATATATATGTATATGTATATATATATATGTATATATATATATATATATATGTATATATATATATATGTATATATATATATATTTGTATATATATGTATATGTATACATATATATATATATATATAAATATACATATATGTATATATACATATATATATATATATATATGTGTGTGTGTGTATGTAGTGGTCTCTTGGTCACTCTTCTTCCTCCTAGGTTTCTTTATTCTCATCGGTTCTCACTTCATCCTCTCTTGCGACCCAAGCTATCGCGCCTACAACGAGGTGGTCCAACTCTCAATTACCTCCACTTTCGACCTCTCCTGCCTCTGCCTCTTCACCTTTATTTATAACCTCTATTGTTTTCTCTTCCTCGACAAGATAAATATTAAATATTTTTTAAACTTAAATTATACATATCATTATATTAATGGTTTATTGTGAGTTAGTATACCATGTAAGTAGACTCTAATGTCTATTAACTTAAACTTGCTAGGAGGGGCTTATATGCTATGTTTTTTTAAAAATATTTGGGTTATTTTAGACGCGAGTAAATGACTTAAATAGTTCATAGCTAAAACCACATAGGCTAAAATGGATTTTAACTCTTTTTTAAACTTAAATTATATGTGTCATTATATTAATAGTTTATTGTGAGTCAACATGCTACGTCTGTTTACACATCTGTTAACTCAGACTTAATATGAGGGATTTATATATTATGTTTTTTAAATGTAGAGGTTGTTTTACACATAAGTAAACCATAAGGGCTTAAGTGATCTATGGCTAAAACCACAAGGGTTAAATGAATCTGAACTCCCATAGATCTTATTAATATTCTGATCTACTTAAAAAAAATTATATTAAGATTTATATAATTCTGAAAGTAAAAAATATAACCTTATTTGTTATAACATCATCAATTATATCGACGAAAAACATAACATATGACATCACATATTGGATCGATACAAAAGTGATGGATAAAAAAATAATTTCAATATATCTTCCATTTCTAGCACCTGCAAAGTTGAAACTATAATTTTGCTGGTAAAGTCACTAAAAATAAAAATAAATATTAAAATTATTTTTTTATCTATCACTTTGGTACTAATCTCAATATAAATTTTTTAAGTACAGAAACATGATAGAATTATCCTCTTCCCCCTTCGTCTCACCTTGCTTGGCAACTTAACACAAGTGACCAAGGACATTGTCCAACATCACTATGATGCTACTCATTGATTGTCGTTGCTCACTTATTCATTTGAAAAAAGAAAAAGAGGGTGTAAAAGGCATTTACAAAGGATTTTTTAGAATAATATTTTTTTTAAATAAAATTATAAATAGTAAATAGGGGTTATTTTTTTCAAATAAATATTCTTATTGATTTAAAATAAAAATAATGAAAAACATTAACTTCTATGATTTAATAATAATGTTAAATTGGATTTAAACATAACTATAATACCCCCAATTAATACAACATTTGAAGTGACCGATGACTTGAATAAACTTATAAGATTTGATGGATATACTATCACTATCTTTGGTTTAAACATCTTCGATCAATGATTTGGACTCAAAAAATTAATGTCTATCGTACTTGGAGATAAATCATGACAAATGTTTATCAAGATCCATTTAATATCGAACATAGTAAGAAGGTTGAGTATCAAAAGACTCTCTATGATCAGCATAAGGGATGGTGGGAGGATTACATAAACAAAGGACAAGCTACAGATTATAATTATTTTGCTCTTCCTGCTGCTTGATTCACTCATCATCTAACCCAACTTGAAGTTTCCACTGAACAGAAACTTCAGTTCAATATTGATCATCAAATATGCATCATCACATAACTAAATCTGAAAACATCACAAACAAGATTTAGCAAAGTATTGATGTGTAAAAGAATGTACTTGGATGTTGTAATGAGGCATGCTTTGAAGCTATGAACTATATGGTTCATGTGATCATCATCACCTTTCTTGTTGCTTCTCAACTTTTAGCTATGGTTAGAACCATTCCAAGCAAAATGAGTGAGCAACTGAGATCCAATTATGACTAGAAATAGTTAAAAATCAAGAAGAAAAGACAAGAAAAAGTATATAGAATCTAGCAATAACATGTGAAGGATGCTGAATTGCTGCTCTGTTGATGCAATTGCCAGTGCCTTACTCTGTTTTGGTGCATCATAAGTCCAGCTTATTCCATGAAGCTTATCATTAAACTCTTTAAGAATGTGATTTGTATTTGCCACTCTGAATGCTGCCATTGCAAAACAATAATGTTGCTGCAATTTGACAGCAACATAGCAGAGTTCCAAAGTTTGACTAATTCTATGTAATTAATCCCTCAAACTCTTTGATGATGATGTTTCAATTCAAATATAAAAAGCACAGCCCTCATAAAACATGGAAAGATCTTACATTGTTTAGCTGTAAATGAGGCCTCATTGCTGCATACTCTGTCCACCATGTCTTTCTTTGTCTCAGCAGTGTTCAGCAAAGCTGAAGCAAATGCATCAAAATCCATCTTTTCCTCAACTTGTCCTCTCTACTGTGATCAATCATCAAATGTCATTCAAGCTCCATCCAAACACCATCCAATTTAGTATCACAAAAGCCAATCACCACCACCACCACCACCACTGTTGTTTGACTATGTTTGGCTACTTCATTACTTCTGAGATTGTGATGATGGATGGACAGCAAAACAGTGCATGAAAAGATAACAAGTTATTGTTCTATAAGAAACCTGAACAAGATCACCTTCAAAGATCACTCGATCTGCGGTAACATTCATCCATAGAACACCTTAAACTTCTCTCTTCCAAAGAGGAATATTGC